CGCACATCAAATAGGCAATCGCTAGCCACGCTCGACAACGCCGCATACACTCCGCCATCCTCTGGCTCTCCCCGCCCGCTCTACTCTGCACGATCGAATCCTCCCGTCTCCAACTCGAATCCCGTCAGCTCGCGGACCGAGAAGCGCATGTCGAGACAGATCATGAACTCCGACCTGAGCAGCTTCGCATACGGTGCCAAACCTCCCTCGCGTCCCGCGTCTCCTCTCGTCGACCAAGAAACCCGGAACCTTCGGTCACAACGGCAGGGAGGAATGAACAGCCCCAAGGAGCTTGGCAACAAGACATACGGCGCGCATCCCCTCAGTGCTTCCAGCAGCTCCGTCAACATCGCTTCCCAGTTCTCGCGCAACCAACGCACTACACCCACCGAAACACCACAGACAGCCCGCTTCGCCCACCACGTTCGTGCGAGTCCTAGCGTGGACAGTGCCACCAACAGCGCCATCTTGCCACACGACAAGGCGCTAGTCCGTGTTATCTACGATGGCGGACGCACCTCAGTCGTGAACATCGAAGGCTGCAAGACGGCCGAGGAGGTCATGCTGAAGACCCTGACCAAGGGCCACCTCAACACCGCCCATGTCAAGAACTACTGCTTCTACATTCTCAACAGCCCAGAGCCAGACCCATCGCTATCTGAACGCTTGAGTGACATCGAGCTCTTCAGACTCGTCAAGGATGCCAACAGACACGAAAGAGGCCGGTTAATACTTCGCAAGGTTCACGCTGGTGAGCCGGATGAAGACCAACTGAAGGCTGCGGCTGGCATCTACGCGCAACAGAACTTCCAGCAGAGTTCCACCGTCTACGTACCGTCAAGCAACCGCAGCCAGATCAAGATTGAGAAGCTCACGGGCGAGTCGCTTGCTGCTGTCAGCTACCCTCTATCACCAACATCCGCGAGAGAACGAGAACGCCACATCAACTCAACAGCCCAGAATCTGGAAGGACCCTCTGATCCAAACAGGTCACCAGTCTTCCAAGCTCGTGCCCGGAAACTAAAGCAGTTCTACGGTGCTCGACCTCCCAGCGAGCTCATTACATCCGACCTGACCTCCTACTTCCCTGACGTCGGAAAAGATGAGATTGACAAGACCGTCCGCATGTCGATACGTCGCTCTCACCGACTCAGCCGCGCAGCCTCGCGTCTATCGATGGCATCCAACTTCAGCGTTGCTTCCAGCCTGAAGGATGCGCCGCCACTACCATCCATCGCCGACACTTGGCTCCAAGGTGGTGCTCAAGCCCGCCCACTTCGCCCACTTTCGGTCATGCGACTTGGTCTGCCCAACCAATCTGGGTACCGTGACTCTATGGCATCTTCTGTTCTGGAACCTCTAGACGAGGAGTCACCTCTCGAACCCAACCGAAAATCATATGTGTCGTTTGGTGGTGAATCGGATACCCTTGCCATTACAGACCCGGAGGGCAACACCACTCTACAATCCTACTTCGACGACGGGGGTAGCAGCCTTACGGGTAGCAGTAGCAGCAACACCGAGAACGGCGACTCACTCAACAAACGCCTTTCTGAGGCCATTGCTGAGGATGGCGAAGAGTCAGACGATGAACTGGCCGAGTATCTCGAACAGGACTCCTGGGACAACGTCAAGTACATGAAGGGAGCTCTCATCGGACAAGGTTCTTTCGGCAGCGTTTACCTTGCCCTACATGCCGTCACCGGTGAGCTCATGGCCGTCAAGCAGGTCGAGCTTCCTTCTGTAGCTGGCGCCTCCCAGATGGACAGCAGGAAGACAAACATGGTGGAAGCCCTGAAACACGAGATCGGCCTGCTACGAGAACTCAAGCACAAGAACATCGTGCAGTACCTTGGCTCCAACTCAGATGAGAGCCATCTCAACATTTTCCTCGAGTACGTCCCAGGTGGTTCCGTGGCAACCATGCTGGTGAACTACGGCCCGCTCGGCGAATCCCTCATCCAGAACTTCGTACGCCAGATTCTGACCGGTCTTTCGTACCTTCACTCCCGGGATATCATCCATCGCGACATCAAGGGTGCAAACATCCTCGTCGACAACAAGGGCTCAGTCAAGATTTCCGACTTCGGTATCTCCAAGCGCATTGAAGCCTCTACACTGGGTGGCGGCAAGAAGGGAGCTCAGCGCGTCTCCCTTCAAGGTTCAGTCTTCTGGATGGCACCAGAAGTCGTTCGACAGACAGCCTACACCCGCAAAGCCGATATCTGGTCGCTCGGCTGCCTGGTTGTCGAGATGTTTACGGGAAGCCACCCGCATCCCAACTGCACTCAACTGCAAGCCATCTTTAAGATCGGTGGTAGTGGTGATGCCAGCCCTACCATTCCAGACAACGCTGGCGACGATGCTCGAACCTTCCTGGCCCAGACCTTCCTCATCGATCACGAGAAGCGTCCCAGTGCTGACGAGCTTCTCGCCAGCCATTTCATAACTAATCAGGGTGCATAAATTTTCACATACGGCGCACAACATATTTCTAGCATGGAACGGAGAAGCATCATTGGGAATTTCGTGGTATATCCTGATCATCTAGTGGTCCCCAAGGTGTTCTGTTCTTTGGGAGTTTTTCCCTTTCTAACGCCCTTAACGCTTACATGCGCGAATGATTCTGTACTATACCACTTTTCGATACGCTTTTCTAGTAGAAGGAAAGGGAGGTGCTACGCAGCATGTGCATACGCTGCTGAACTTTTAATGGGTGCTTTGGATGGGGCGCAGACAGTTTGTACTATAGCTGTCTATTAGATCTATCTCGACCCCTTCACAACCACTATCTTCGTATACATATCAAACATTGCTCTAATCCAACGAGTTTGTCTCGACCCCACGTGCTGGCCACGATGACGCGCCTTCCACAATAAAGTTCAGTGGCTGAAGCTGCCACAGTCGCATCACCACAAGCTCTACCCCACTGTCCCAGACTCCATACACACAGGAACGCAAAATCCAAACCACCGACTGTATCACCAGGGAAAAAAACTTGTAGATCGACTGCACGCCTTGCTACATCCCAATCTCCGACCTAATCCACTTCTTATACGCCTAGCTTACTCATATGTGCAGCAACGGAACTTCGGACGTCTTGGCTCAACCCCACATCCGCGCTCACATGCATCCCGCCTGACGTAGTCTAGTCTGGTCCCTCGTTCCCAATCCACTTACAGCTTTGCCCAATCGCGGGTGCGGGGTAAACTTCAGCTACGTGTGGTCACGCGTTTTAGCTGTTTGCCTCGGCTTCGGTTCTTTAGGTAGTTACCTTGGGTTTGTGGATACTTCGTGCTGACGCGTGTGTTTATCGTGAGGTACAGCTGGGCATGGATGGCGGTCCGAATGTGACAAGAGTGTTATTGGTCCGGTAGATGGGTGAGGTAGTTTGTGGGTGAGGGTTGTGCACTTTTTCCGTGTGCGTAACTTCGTATCTATTGTGTTGGAAGGCCGTAGACGGGGCTGGTGTGGGGTAGAGATAGGGTCGTTAGCTAAGGGAGAGTCAGGGTAGCTCGACGCGTTATGGAGCTTGGGTGTTGGTGCGGGGAAAGGTATATGTACTGGAGGTGTCTCTCGGGTTGCTTCAATCCGTCTTCAATTAACCCATCCTGACTGCTCCTTCCCCCTCCCCGAAGCGTCTCGTCCGAACTGTCTCTACATCGAGTGGTACACTACATCAACCGTCCAACATGTCCCTTCCCTCCAAATATAAAGCCGCCATCTACGATGCGCCCGGCTCTATCTCCACCAAAATCGTCGATCTCGACATGCCCGAGCCCGGCGCCGGCGAAGTCTTGATCAATCTCACACACTCTGGTGTCTGCCATTCCGATCTAGGCGTTATGATGAACTCGTGGAAAACATTACCTTTCCCCACACAAGCCGGACAAGTCGGTGGTCACGAGGGCGTAGGCAAGATCGTAAAGATGGGACCTGGAACCGAGAACTCGGCAGTCAAGATGGGAGATCGTGTGGGTATCAAATGGATGGCGGGTATTTGTGAGACATGCGAGGCTTGTAGGGCGGGTATGGACGCTTCGTGTTTCTCAGGAGTAAGTTTTACCTATACCTATGACCAACTTCTGGACTGCGATCACTAATTCGGGTAAACAGAAAGTATCAGGATACTACACACCAGGAACCTTCCAACAATACGTCCTCTCCCCCGCAAACTACGTCACGCCCATCCCCGCCGACCTCGACTCCGCAGCCGCGGCACCGCTTCTCTGCGCAGGTGTGACCGTCTACTCCGCGCTCCGCAAGACAAACGCCGAGTCAGGTGCTTGGGTCGTGATATCGGGTGCCGGAGGCGGACTAGGTCACTTGGCCGTGCAATTCAGTGCCAGGGGAATTGGCCACCGCGTTATCGGCATCGACCACTCTTCCAAGAAAGACATCGTCATGGAAAGCGGCGCTGAGCACTTCATCCCCGTAGACGGAACAGAGAACATGGTCGAAGCCGTTCAAGCACTGACAAACGGTCTCGGCGCTCACTCCGTCGTCGTCTGCACAGCGAACAACATGGCCTACGCCCAATCTGTAGACCTACTTCGTTTCGGTGGCCGCGTTGTGTGTGTAGGTATCCCCGAGGGTGACGTCGTACCCATCAAGAGTGCGAACCCTGGTGTCATGGTCGCCAAAGCGCTGCAGATTGTTGGTTCTGCGGTAGGATCAAGGAAGGAGGCGATTGAGACGATGGAGTTTGCGGCGAGGGGTATTGTTAAGACGCATTTCAGGACGGAGAAGATGGATAAACTTTCGGATATCTTCAATGAGATGCATGCGGGCAAGCTGCAGGGTAGGGTTGTGTTGGATATGACGGCATAGGGTGGACGGTTGGATTCGTGTTGAGAGTATTAGAAGTATACGGCAATATCATGAATGTCATCAATTTCACGAACTTCTCAACTGCTCTTGTGCGGTAGTAGCCTTCGTAATACCTGTATCTTCCTTCTAGCGTCTAACAGTTGAGCTTGATAGCCTCTAGTTATGGCTATCTATTCATCTTCTAGATTATCCCAGTGGGATACATGAAGCAGTGTACCACGCGCTCTGAGATCCTCAATCTATGCTGCGTGCACAGTCTGCAGCCACATTCATGAAAGTATTTGAGTAAAAAGCCGTGCTGCCAGCTTATGTTCGCCTCAGAGACAAGGATCGGTGCGTTGAACAGGTCGTGGAGCGCGGAGGCTGCTGATGCGCCGTCGCAGAACGCGTGTTGTTGTTGTTGTTTGGACTAGCTGAAGTCAGCGTCCTGTTAAAAGGCATGGCCAGAGCAGTACGACATACCTGCACCGCGTCTCGTCTGTCCCTCTCAAGATATTCCGTCCAGTCTTCTCCACCTCCTGTGCTGAACCTTTCATACCGTACCTTGACGTCTGCGCCACCATCCCTCGCACGGCGGTATACCGATCCTACCATCTCATACAGATTACGTTTGGTACTCGGTTCATGCAGTATCCCTCCAGGACCTGTTGCGGGAGCAAGGAAGCAAAGCTCCAGCCTAACAGTATGATTTGTGTAATTGAGCGTCTCCAACCCTTCTAGGCGATCAAGATACATTGCGCTTGTTGAAGGTACGTCGAGTGTGACATGTTCTGAATAGCTTGCTATTTGAGCTCTGCTCACACCCGTTGCAACGTCTTCGGCATCGTGAAAGGCGGCGTTGCTGCGAAGGTACACACGTAGATGGCGGACAAGATCGCGGAAGTATACCCCCGGCCGGATCTCGGTATTCAGTAGCTGTCTAACGTTTAGACTGGTTCTGGAGCCGCGGAAGTAGAAGGGCGTTTTGCGAAGCGCTAGGTTCTGGAATTCAGCACTGGTTGGTGAACCCATCACAGCAACGGAGAAGCAGTAGTCCTGCATGAACGGATTGAGCTCTTCGTGCATGGCTTTCGCATGCTCGCTCGCTCCAGCGCTGCCAGATTGCAGTCTTCCGTTCACGATCTCGACCTTGGGATGTTCCAGTCTTGGGATGACTATCGGCTTGCTGATGTCGAAGACATGCTCGTAGATATTCTCACGGACCTCCAACGGAAGCGAAGCCTGAATCTCGCTGAGGAGCGGCGCGAGAAGCTGACCGGAGCATTGTTCAAGGTCAGCCTTGATTTGACTTGGCGGTATCAGCGACCACTTTTACGACCATAGACAAACCAGACTCACTTCGTGAAGGTGCCTTTCCAATCTTCCAGCACGTTGAGCTGTTCCGATCTGGTGATGCGGGTGACTTTGATTTCATCGGCGATCCTGAGAGGTCAGTGGTAAGCCTTTGAGACAGGCTAAGACCCATACCGCTCTTGAATTTGCTTGAGCAATCTGCTCTTCCTAGATCTAGTCAGTAGCGTGTCTAGAAATTGCAATACGGTTGATATACTTCAGGATCGTGCGCTGCCATTGCTCTGTGCACTGGTTGGCATCCATATCTCGCTAAATGTCAATCTCCCGCCGTTGGATCTAGAGCGATCGCTAGCGTTAGTAGCGCTGGGTTGCGAAAGAAGAGATGAAGATTCAAACTTTTTCGACATCACGATGATTCTGGATCAGATACGCGGTCTCCGTTACTAGCGCAGAATACAAAGAGGGGTTCCAGCTCTGTGCGCAACGTTACACAGCGTGTAGCGTGTTGTCTTCCTCCAATAGACTATGTGTTGACTACCCGAAATGTGGGAGCGGAATACAAGACTCTCTATGCCAACCTTTGAATGTTAGCAGCCTTGACACGTTCTCACACTATCAAAGCCAGCAAGTACGACCTCCAAGCAACGGGTCGCTACGACATATAAGCGGTTGGATTGATGCCCTCTTATCTCCTTACGCGTTACAAGGCCAAGCTGACAGAAGATCTGAGAAAGGTTCCGATGATACGAGCCGAAACCACCGTCACGGATGTGACCGGCAATCAAACGATACGCAACAGGGTCGCAATCACGGACCCTCGATCATGTGCGGACTAAGAGTTGATCGGGGCACTAGATGTGCGATGTCGAAGTCCGTGTGGGCCGTAGTGTGTATCACCGCGCCGGACGCCCACTCCTATTCGCATGCGCACGCCTTACACGAAGGGTCTGGAGGGGCCAGGTTTCTCCAGAGGTCTCTGATCATTCCGCTTCGGTTGAAGATATTCTGTGTAGCCAACAGCCTCACCCTGGTAAGGCCAGCACAGCTCCTTGCAGTGCGACGTCAGCGACGTCATGGTCACAGCTAGAGCGAACCTTGGATCACCGCTAGTCGTCCAAGGACCAGGCAGATGCAAATGATCAGTGATGTTGGGGTCGAGAAGCTGAAACGAGATGGAGTTCGATGCACGGTGCCGTGGGGTTTCGACATACATGAGGTGTGCCTGGTGCATCAATAAGGCGCAGTGCTTATAGAGTAGTTCGAGGCGGACGTCGTGTCCGGCACAATGGCCCCAAATTAGTGCGGCACCAGGGCTGAGCAAGCAGTCGCGCCGCAAATAGCACGGCCCCAGCGCCAAAACACAACAACCTTGGATGTCTCTGATTGCTCCCCACTGCTATGCCTCACTACAACGCATCCTTGTGCTAACGTTTGTTGCGCAATGAGGAGCCGTATATGTCCCGGGGGCGTGCGTCATTGGGTTTTCGCCCGCCTGCCCACCCATGCTGTCCTGTCCGCCCACTCGGAGTTGGCCTCCATCTCATCTCACTCAGCTCAGCTTTCGCCGGGCGCTGCATGCATCTTCTGTGCGGAACGCCACGGCCGGGCTATTCATGGAGCTCGGTGGTGTCTAGCAGTGCCTTAGGTTATGATTATCTTGGCTTCGGACGATATACAGTCCCTGCCCTGCCACCATGCCCGAGTCACGGCTTCGATGGGAGATCCCTTATCCAACTACTCACCCTCAGCAACTCCAGACTGCTACTCGTACATTTTCTGCAGCCTAATACGTCACTAATCGACCCGCTCAAGCCCACCTGCCCATGTTGACACATTGCTCTGAGTGATCAGCCTCACCTGGCGCACTGAAGAGAAGGATGTCAGCTTTACTTAAGCTAAAGCCGAAAAAGTCAGCTACCATCTTACGCGCAGTTCCAGAAAGTACTAAAGACGATGCGGCTCTCCCCTCTCACAATCACAACACAGCGACCGAGGGTCGCAGGGACGGCAATGACGGCAACCGACCGTCGTCAGCAGGTTTGACCGTACCGTTGCCTTCAAGATCAACATCTATCTGGGGTAGGAGACGGAAGAGCATTGCTTCGGCAGTGGTCGCAACGGGAGCCAGTAATACTGCAGGTGGACTGTCGGCATCAAGCCACGCATCGCTTGTAGGCACCATCGGCACATATAAGCACGGCAAAATCCAATGGCGAAAGAAGAATCGCAAAACGGTCACTAAGCACAAGAAGAACATTCCGAGCGGGGCCAGACATCCGGCTGCGAAGCCTAAGATACAAGTGGTAATCCCTTGTGGAAAGCCACTGCCCGCTCTTCCATTCCTCGAAACGGGCCCTACCGATCTCGAAAGCCACCACGAGGTCTCGCCTCCGTCAGCAAGCCACCATCGCATACGAGATTCCATTGTATCTCCACTTGCGCATCCGCAAACACAGCACACAATCCGCCAAACCGCTCCAGTGAATACGCGATACACACCGAACCAATTCAAGAGTAGCTTCGAGTCTAACAGTTCGTGTAACGAGTCGCAAGATAGCGATGCTTCATCACTGCACAGCAACCACTCTTCAGAGACTAGCGTGGAGGTCGATAAATCTCCGACACAAGGAAGCACCTGCCAACCTTCAGCGCATCTTCCGAGTGGCCAGACCCTGGCGCCTAGAGGTACTCTACATGCTCGCTCTGAGCTCACCCTATCTTTCAACGGGAGCCAATCCCATGCACCGCCGTCGATAGCGCCCCGAGAATACATCCACCCGTCCTCTAGCGATGAGAATCTCCCCTTCCAACCAACTTGTGCTCTCCATGTAGCTCAGAGCAAGCCACGATTGAACCGAAGGTCCTCAAAGCGGAGCGGTCCGCGGCAGAACTTAGCCGCGGATGCAAGTATGGGCATGATCAACGAGGCGAAACCCTCAGGAACTGAAGCGTTTCCAATCCCTCCACGTGCGTCCAGCCCTACGTTGAGCGAGGCTGAGTTCGACCTGCACGCTCAACTGGCTTCTTCGTTTGGCAGCAACAGCGATCCTCGCATGCTTGCCCAGGATGGGACGCCCCTTGCAGAACGCAACCCTTCCTGGAGGGGCATGCGTCAGGCGTCAGCTGGAGACGGGAAGCTTATTGATACTACAGGCCAGCCCCGAAGAGATTTCGCTAATGCTGTACTGCCTGATAATCCTCCTCCGGCTGTCCCGCGTAAATCCAGCAGGCGGCGATTGGCAGCCAGGACGACTGTTGAAGTCAACCGTCTACCGCGAGACCATATCGCTTCACAGCTGAAGCGAAAGTCCTTTCGCACGAGCAGAACATTGACACTTATGATTCCGCAATACAAGCGTTCCAGTGTGGACCTGGTGTTTTCTCCGCGAGCTGTTTCTACCAAAACCACCAAACCACCCATTACGTCTGACGGAGCTGAGAAAGTCATACTCAACATCTTCCAACATCTAGATCACTTCAACGATCTTTTCGCCGCAGCCTCCATCAACCGAGGCTTCTATCGTGTGTTCAAACGTCATGAACTCGATCTCATCAAATCTACCTTGCAAAAGATGTCACCACCAGCCTGGGAGTTTAGAGAGATCGCCTTTCCTGGACACGAACTTCTACTTGCAGCAGACCTTGAGACGACACGACCTGCAGAGGAGTACACCCCAACTTCATATCTCAAGCTCCAGAAGCGAGACATCCAAGTCATCCGCACAATCAAGTTGGAGATTATGGAGAAATGCCAGTCCTTCGTACGACCAGAGATATCAGCTGCGCTCATGAGCGCCTGCCCAGCCGAGTCTGCTAGGGTTGACGATGCGTTATGGCGCATATGGACATTCTGTAAGCTATTTGGCTCGGGAAAAGGACGTGAGGAGGACATTGTTGCGCAGATGGACTGGCTCAATGGTGGTATGCTTGTCCATCAGGCGACCTGCACCTTCAGCATGATGAGCACAGACCTCATGAGCGACACATTGGTCGGTGCACCTGAGTGCTTCGGGCAAGGGAACGAAGGCGGCCTTACCGCCGAGCAACTCTTCGACATGATGGAACTATGGACCTGTCTTTCCGTCCTGCTACAAAACTTCGAAGGGCGCACAGTTCAAGCCCGACAAGCCGGTATTTACGACAACACCGACATTCGTGGTGGCGATATTGATGGCGAGGAGATGATGCTTGGTTCGTCTATCCGCTGCATAATCATGGATCTTGCTAACCAGACCAGACGAATGGATCTACCACCTCCTCACCTTTGGCCTTGATACTGTTCTCAAGCTCACTGGCCCGTTCCACCCCTCGGATCCCAAAGCCTTTGTTATTGCGGCGGAGAACGGATGGGTCAACTGGAAGCCTCCTGTGCTTGACGGTACACGACAATACTTCCTCAAAGAAGCAGCCCGACGCGTCTACGAAGACAAGATTGCGCATACCTATGCTAAGATCTCAATCCGCGACGTGCAGCGCCAACAGTCCAAGATACGTATTCAGAAACACATTGACGAACTCAAGGATCGCAAAAGGAATGGTGAGCAACGACCAATGGTTCTCAGGGAAAGACCCATGTCAGACTGGGATACTGTGATTCGAAACTTGACACGCCCTCCTCTACCACCACAAGGCCCGGGAAAGGACATCATCACTCATGTTCCGGCACTGAGATCATCTTCTGTGGAAGACATACCGACATCTGTGCCTCTTCCTAGATCGAGGTCGACATCCAGCAGAACAGCTTCACCACCTCGGCGAACTGTGGCTCAGCCTTTGCTCCCATCACCGCCCCCCTCCACAGTTCCTAGTAACCATGATCGACATAGCATTTCGTCAATCCTAGCACCTATCAGGGAACGGACACCCTCACCGCCACGTCGAACGGTTGCTCAGCCCCTTCTACCATCTCCCTCGGTCACAACAGTCCAGAGCAACCGCGATCTATACACCATGGGCAGTGTATCAAGCGCAAGCTCTCCACCCCGCCGCATGTTTGCTCAGCCGCTTCTGCCGACACCCTCCGCTTCCACGGCGACAAACAGTCGTGATTGGCATCGCTACAGCACAGGCACATCTATGCCTTCTATCCTCGAGGATCCATTACATCATCCTCTGTCCGAACCACCCGGACCGCCTCACCCCGCATTCCGCCCTCATCCCATGTCAATGCCTTACCGTGGCCGCCACATGCGTCAGAGTAGTAGTCAGTCATCTGCCGGAAGCTCCACTCCCAGAGGTGGAGCCCTCCAACAGCACGAACAACAACACCACATCTATGGATCTCGGAGTCATGAGAACACGGCCGATAAGGCCATATGGCGGATTGTCGAGATGGGTTTCACAGCCGAGCAGGCCCGAGAGGCGCTAAGGTTAACCGATCTGGGAGACGGACTGAGGGTCGACCGAGCGGTGGAATTGCTGCTTAGTCGGCAGACATGAATGAGCTGGTGTTTGCAGAGTCGGAAGGATTCCGCTCGAGACAGATAATTTCCTTTTGTGGTAGGCGTTGCGATTTTGTCCTTCATTACAGCGCGTGCAAGATACCCCATCCTTTCGTTCATGCTTCTTATCATCAACAGTCTACAGTCGTTCAATGTATATTTTTACCTCGCCGTAACGGTCGGCGACCACAACCCACTTTGACATTATCACTAACGGAATTCAACGGTTGAAGCCGCTGATGAGTCGTGGAAATTACCCGAAAGGGGACGGGACGGTATCCAATTTTAATTTCGCGGCCCCTCGACCCCAACGCTAATTCGGGATGACCCTAGCTCGATGGTTTGCCTTAATCGTATCACGATCAGGCAGTGCAAGGAAAGAAGTGGGAGCTTCGTTCGTGTATTTCCGCTCAGATCGCTCCTCAGACTCTTCTCTTCCCGCTTCTCTCCACCTTGACTTTCCATCTCGTCGACAGCGACAAAAAACAAACCTTTGCGGAGTACAGTCCGCATACTCGATGCCCGGCATGTTGTCGCAAGCGTCGATATCTGCAACATTTCTCCTCCTCCTAGCGTCGCTGCCGTCCAGCACGCCCACCTGCTTCCTCCCCAACGGCACCGCGCACCAGGACGAAGGAACTTCGCGCTGTTCTTCCATATCTGGCTCCCCGCTCTACAACACATGCTGCCAAACGCAATGGCCGAACCCACCAGGCGGCGATGTTATAAACGGCCCTACGGCGGATGAATGCATGCCGAACGGGCTGTGTCAGAACAGAGGCTTCAGCAGCGCACCTGGCCAAGAGGCAGAGCCGTGGACGCACTTCTACCGGGTTTACTGTGCGAATGCGAACTGGGAGGGTTGCTTGGATGTCTGCAGAGACGGGGTATGTTGCTTTTCCCCGTTTGTGGCTATGCATGTGGCTGGGTGCCTGGTTTCAGAAAGCTAACAAGCGACTAGAATCTAGCAGACTCCGTCTCACAATTGACGCCTTGCGACGGAACAGCCAAATCAGAGTACTGGTGTTGTGGAGACAGCAACGCGTGCTGTTCGGCCTCCGCTGATGCGCTGGTCTCGAAGAGAATCAGGATTCCAAAGGAACTTGGAGGCGAGCAAGTAGCTTCTGCGAGCGCGGGGCTGGCATCGCCAAGTGCTGGACCGGCTTCCTCACGTGTGGGCACAGCTTCTTCGATCGGGAGCACGATAACTAGGAGTGCAGCACCGGTAGCGACGGGGACGGGGACGGGCGAGGAACCCACGCCATCGTCCGACGCAGCGAACCTATCTGGCCAGAACGGAGAGAAGCAAGATGAGGGCAAATCGAACTCGGGACGCAACATTGGTATCGGCGTAGGTGTCGGCGCTGGTGTGGGAGCTCTGCTAGGTATTGCAGTGACCATTCTACTGCGAAGACGGAAGTCAAAGCAGAAGACTCGGGAGATTGAAAACGAGATTGCGGAAGAGAGGCAGAAGCAGGATTTAGCCAAAGGGTACCACCACGTGGCTGAGATGCCGCATCAGGAACCTGTATGTCGAAATGTCAACGCGGCAAGGGATGTTGAGCTAACGTTGAGATAGGTGTACGAGCTTCACAGTGGGAACAGAGCTGATCTGGAGTTGGATGGGGCGAACAAGGCGCAGTCGTCCATGTATCGTTAATCCGCTGTTGGGCTCTTTCGAGTGGATGCTCTAGCTGATTACGATATGGCCGTCGGGCCAGGTACATACCATTGGGGAGGTAATGAATGCTCATACGCAAGTCCATGCGACGTCATCAATCATAACATTCTTGATGCTTTTTCCTCTTGGTCGTTCCTCTCTCATACTCTTGTCAATTCCGCGACCTTTGACTACGTTGTCTACTCGGCCTTCGGCTTTTCACACTGTTGGTCCTCCTTGAAAGCTTTCAAGAACGCCAGAGCTGCGATGCCACAAGATCCTGTCATACTCGAGCCTACAGCAAACGCTTGGACGATAACAAGCCCATATCCTCCCATCGCAGCACTGGTAAGGACGGCGAAAGCACTGCCCGCAGCGATGGGAGCGACGCCTGCCTGGAATGCAGACGCCATGGAGCCTTTTCAAGTGTTAGAAGTCAGTCCGAAAACACGATGGGTGGTTGATACGTACCAGCGGCGATACCGATAGGTGTGAAGCCCACAAGGCCTAGCATGGCTGGTGTGACAGCAAGAGCGATGGGGCCAGAAGCAATACAGGCCAGCAACGTAGAAAACTGTTTAGGGTTGGCAAGAACCCATTCTTTGAGCCTCTCGCTGAAACCTGAGAGATCTTCCTTGGTGAAGTCAATGTTAGGGATAGCCGCCTGACCAATGTCATGGAGGATGTCGCCGCTGCTTAACTTGTCCCAGAAATCACCCGCTGTAGTGCCAAGCTGCTTCGCCATGTCTTCACCAAACTGTGCAATGAAGTTCCAGTCGTATTCCTCGTTGATGTATCCGTCTGGGAGTTGCGGTAGGGACTGTAGACCTTGTTTGCCGCTGTTGTAAGCGGCTCGGGCGAGTTCCATAGCATGCTTCGAGGCACTGCTGGCGATAGGAGCAGCATGCTTGCCAGCTTCTTTGCTGAGTCTGTCAAGATGAGTTTTTGCATCTGCAGCGGCTGGACCAGCACGTTTTGCTACTTCTTGACCGAAAGCGCTACCGTGTGTCCATGCCTTGTCTGCAGCAGATGCTACATGTCGCGCCGCCTCTGGTCCGTAAGTCTCGGCGTGTCTTCGCGCCTGTTCAAGTAGACCCATCTTATCGAAAATGGCGAATTGGCTTGTGTGTGTGGTGTCACGCACAGGCTTCTCAGTGTTGCTATCTGATAACAAAGCATCATTTGCACTAGCGCGGGATAGGTGAAAGCGGAGGTCCTGCTGTGTGACACCACGACATGCGGGGTCCACGCATGAACGCCATTGCTGAAGATACTGCAGTCTCAATAGCTTGTACCAGCCGCAGAGGTTCGAGGTTGTAGTAACCACAAGCTGTACTACTTGCACAATATTAATGACACTTGGAAGTAGTCACAGAACGACAATGCACTAGTCGCATAAAATAAGAACCAAGAACGATACCTTGCACACTACGTACCTAGGTATCTACAAGGTTAAGTCGTACGACAATTCTTGTGAGTATATGGTCCATTCAATATCCCATTGGCCAAGTTCACCATCGATCGTTATGAAACATTGGGGTGAATTGTGCCCAATGGGGCATGAACGATGCCTAGTAAGTGTTGTTGGTGGCTCTGTCTGCTGGTGCAACAACGAAAGCCAACTCAAGACCAGAGAGCTCTTTCGGACCACTGCTGCCGTAGATATAGAGCACCGTCGTGTACACCATGGAATGCAGTTGGTCGTGGAGGCGATAAGATTAGAGACGCGGAAATGACCGACCCGGGTCCACGTTCTAGAAGCTTGGCACGGGCCCGTTGAACAGGACTTGGAACCTGGAGGCGAGCGGACCGATATAGCGTCATAGACAACGGCCTTTAGACGACGGCGTGGAGAGTGCAAACGGGCTGTGAGTGTTTGATTGATGTGCGCGCGTCGTGTAGGCGCAGTGGCGCGCTGCTAACAGGAATGTGAGTGCCTGGCGTGAGAGGTGCAGGTGATGCAGGGCCACTTAAGCGGGGCGATAGGTTGGACGTCATCCGCGGATTCGTCTGATCGACCAGGCTGATGTGCGGGACAGGGACCGGCAGCGGCCTCGCACCAACCATCGAGACGTGCGCGCCTGTAAGTGCAGGGATGACTGCCATGTTTGACGTGCATGTGTGCAGCCTGTGTCGCGCCCAGCCTGCTGAGCTTTGTTGACGTCCCCTTATCCCCTTATAATGTCCGCCGCCGGTATGCCTCGCCTGCCTGCTGCAGGCCGCCACGATGCTGCGACGACTGCACCACGACATGGTTGACGAGAATGCCGGAAAGCTGCTGCGGAAGGACAGCAAGCGGCAGCGCGTCCTCAAGTTCTTCAGGGCCTTCAAGCAGAAGCAAACACAGCGCCAGGGTGAAGTCGCTGTACCTGTATGTCACCTGCTCCTTCTCTGTGGTGTTATCGTCACGATACTCGCACGATGATCAAGAAGCTGATAGCAAACTTCCCGACAAAGGCACCGCCCAAGCACGATAACGCTGCCCCGCAATCACCCCCTCCACAAACACTCGATGTGATACCCCAAGAGGAACCGAGTGCCGCAGTCGATCATGAGAGCATGGCGCCCGTAGAAGAACTGGAGCCAGATCGCGTACCTACACCACCGCAAGAGACCAGGGAGGACAAGTTGGAGACTCTTGGTGAGGGCCAGCTTCGCACGCTCTTCGCTGGGGCCCCGCAGTTTGGCATCGCAAAGACAGGCAGTCGCTACATACCAACCGTCACTCATCCTTGGAACGCCGATGCTGTGCTCAAGGAAGCTTCCGATACAGTTCCACTTGCCGAACCCGCCTTCTCAGCCGCGACCCTACACGAACAATCATCCAAGACCCGACAGCTACCCGAGACTTCGAAACAGTATAATGGTTATCAGGTGGACGTGGTGGAGATGCCGAGCATGGTCAGTGCCCAGGGTATCGAGCCGGGGACTGTTGGCTTCTCGCATTTCCTCGAGCTACCAAGGTCTGACACGCTGGCCAGCGAGCTGGACCAGTCTCAGTCAAGTCAAGACTCCGCTGAGTCGGCCAGAAATAAGGACGTCATGCAGGCAACTCCTGAGCGACTGGGTATCCGTTCGGTGGACTTGAATTTGATATACGACCGCTTGGCTGAGTTCCAGGACATGTACGAGGCATTCCAAGACAGCCCCGAGCCCATGACGATCCTCAACAACCAAAGCTCTGGAGATCTGTACGCGAATCTATTCACCAAGTTCCTTACCCCTCCGGGCTACGACGACTCTACCGAAGACCCTACAGGCTTGCAGACACAAATCGTGGCCCTACTCAGGGTATTGGGACTGAAGGGTGTCTGGTACGACTTCAGCCTTGTCGAATGGAGGATAAGGCTTGGCCAAATACTGTGGAGTGAACCCGAGCCAACTTCCGAGCATGATCATCAAACCCTATGGACAGAGCGGGAGATACTATTACTGCAGATCACCTTGGCTTGCGAGTTGCTGCTTCGACTGGATGCCTTCACGAATGCAGATGCGACCGACGCTGAGATCCGACTTCGGATTGACGCAAAGGATATCGAAGGGTTTCTCAAGATCAAGACGAGGAAGGTTGACTGGGATTTGGTGCTCGCGCGGAGATTTCTCGACAATGTCGTCATCATGAGAGGCAATGATGCGCCAGTCTCACCCAAACCCAAACTACGTGGACTACTGTCACTGCTAAGCCAAGGCGCTCACGCCCAAATACCGCAGTCCGACCTCATCATACTTCCACAGCATCAATCCAGACAGCTCTCTGGGCTTCTTCACTTTGCGAAGACACTGCAATGGCCTAGCCTTGACGTGGTCTCGGTGGATTTAGCTCGGAAGCTTGGAGAGCAACACAAGACCGAGGAACCCACACCAGCGTCACCCAGCGGAAGGTTGCTCGACATGGCCACCCCTTCCGGCATCAGTGTATACGGCACGCCACTGCAAACACCCCTCGCTTCCGGTCAACAACTGGACAGCTACTTCGGCCATATCGGAAAGCCTGCTTTGAATCGCAACAATTCTCGTGCCCTGCGCATGCCACTTTCCCCCGTATCGACCATCTCGGAAAACGATGCCACGTCCAGCTACAATATCGGAGGGTGGCTGAGTCGGTCTTATCTGACCGGTCTTGTGCTCCCCGGAGAAGCCATGTCACACTTCCTCGTGTCGACCTTGCTTGAGAACGACAGCAACGCTATTGCCAACCTGGGAGAATCAGCAAACTTGTACGGCGGATTCACCTTTGGCGACAGAACCTTTTGGAGCAAGTCTTCCGTTGTTGGGCGCATTCTGGCGTGTATCAAAGGCTCTGCAGAGTGTATGGGCTGGATCTCATGTCCAAAGCTACCCGACAGCCCTGCCGACCGTTGGTACTCGATTCACAGCGAACTGCTTCCGCACGAGAACCGGTTGCGACCAAGAGACGGTTCTGACACAGTCGCCGAAGAGTCAGCTATCGCGCCAGTCGATTCTCTAGCTTCGTTGAGGTCCGAGGACTTTGTTCTTCCTCAGGATCCTGATTCGTACCTGGCTCCCTCCTTGGTCTTCTCGCAGTGGGAACTGGTCCCAATTAACACCGACCTTATCGACGGTGACAGCTTGACAGGACCGCCAACCGAAAGTGACATCCATGCCCCGTCGATGACGTTTGTCACCAGAGGAGATGCAGTGAGCCACACCATCACGTTGACATACGATGTTCAATTTGTCACTTCTTTCCCCTGCACCACAGCTGCGTCTGCGCCTCCCTCGTTCACGCATCGCCCGAAGGTTCTGAGGCGCTCTGGCACCGGAACAATTTCGAGATCCTCTTCAAAACATAGCGTAACTCTTTCACGCCGCAACAGCCACGGCTTCGAGCCGCTCCTATCGCATCCACCGGATGCATCAGACATCGCGCCAAAGCGGATGTACGAAGCATCCACCGGACCAGAAGTCGAGTCGCTTGCGACTAGCAGCAAGCCCATGAACGCGCATCCTCTACACCAGTCGTACTCCTACAAGATTGTGCCAGTCACCGATGTTCTGGATCCTGACTTCTTACTGCCGTTCGAGCTTCACACGTCCAAGTCTACGGAACGCCTACTTGATCTGTCGCGGAGCAACGACAGCGATACAGCGGAGACAATCAAGAATAACAAGAAGGCTGTGTTGGTACTAGATGCCAGAGCTTCGTCTGATCTTCAGCTGCTCGCACGAGCCTGGTGTGCGGAAAAGGGCCTTCATGCGATCGTGAGTCGTGTAGGAAGGACTTGTTTGGGTTGCTCCATTCGCGAGGCCAGAGGTTTAGGCATCCACATTGTGATCAGAGTATAGGCTGCAGCGTGACTACTTGCTCATCCACGCCAGCACTGGAGTTTTTGCTACATTTCTCAAATTGTCACATTGTCCTCGGGGCAGGGAGTTGGGGGTTTAGTTTTGCTACAGGCCATTATTGCGGGCGCGCATACAAGATACCCACACTGTGAATGAATACTACTGTTACTCTGCATTGAGCATGTCCCATGATCCATTGCCACGTCCGTTACTTATTCGAGGATCGCGCATGACAAAAATAACGTGTACCCACTTTCTGCGCGTGTTCGCAATCAGCCACCGCATTCACTCCTAGACCGCATGCCTCATATTTGGATGAAAATTGTGCGATTGCAGAGGCTGTGTTTTCCTACCCTGAGTTCACTTAGCAAGATCGGCGGCGCTCACAGCCACGTGCTGCTAGCCGAGGGGGGCGGGCTGTGTGTCTGTGGGTGGCCTGGCGTGCCTGATCTCACGCGAAGCGCGTTTGAACTTTCGCGGATCGAAAATCAAAAACTTCAAACACCGCTCACCAAGGCTCTTATCACGTTAGAATCTATATCTACGACGTGTCAATTGTCACTTATCTTACCTTGTTTCTGCTGTCGAACAAAATACATCATCGGCCCTGACTTACAAGCTCACCTGGTCTCTTCTTACATCATCATCCTTCCTTCCTCCTTCGTTCAACACCGACCCTCTACCACCAAACTCATCCAGCAGTCGCCACACTCTCCCCGCATTCAAGATGAATTACGCTCCAATGAACCCAGAGACAGAGGAGTTCACACCTGCGCACGACGAGCCGAAAGATTGCTGCACACGATGCATCCAGCGGATAGACTGCACGTTGGCAGGCCCCTGGTGCATCGAATCAATCATTGCGTGTTTTGCGAGTATGTCAAGTTGTTTTGGCGATGCGTGTAGTAATTGTGGAGACTGCTGTGGTGAATGCTGTGCTGGGTGCTGCAAGGCATTCACCTGACGTGGAAACATGGAAAGAGAGGAGAAAGAGGAAGACCCCTCAGAAGGTTGCGGTATTTATCATTCAACAAGCCCGCTCTTGTTGAGGTATCGTGACTGGTTCGTTAGGGGTCTATGGGTCATTGCAGAACCAGAATATGGCGAACCGAAGTCTGACATCAAGCACATGTAAAAGAGGTGGATGGCTGAGTAAAAGGTGGGAGCGTGCCTGGAGAGCTTCGCACGCTGCTCGAACACGATTACCTTGGATGCATGCCAACACGCCGACAAGACAGAAAGCACTCGCCATTGCAACTCCCAGGAACGTAGAGCACGTGCGAAATGCCACGCTGATGGTCTTTGACCTTCAAGGTGGCATCTGCTATACTCTTCCACCACAACTTTCCGCTCATCAGTCATCGCCTCTATCGCTACAGCATTATCGCTATCATCTGTTGGCATCGGGGTCCATCGACAACGTCATCAAAGGTATGCAGAGCGTGACCTGATTCTGGACTGTTCTAATGTGATGCAGCAGTCATTTCATCTCATCCTCACCATCGGCATTCATTCATTAGGCCAGCACTTGAAGTATTCACGCATTGCTTTTTCTTCGCAAAAACATCGCCAGCAGGTGCACCTACCTATCCAAACACACAGCATATAGACTACGGGTCAATCGACATCTCAATCATGCCTGGGAACGCAGGTCGGCGAGCTCGCCATATGCGCGGCTGTGGCAGATTCTACCTGGACCGTAGGATATGTCCTAATTGTGGAGCGACGGTATACCAATTTTCCAGACACGCGGTTCAGACTTGTAGGACTTGTGAATACAACTTTATCTGGAGAAGTGAACCAGAAGTCGCACCAGCGCAACCTCCTGCTCCACGTCCTCTTGGTCAGTCTGACTCAACTTTGACATGCTGTATTGGGGCTGATTGAGATTAGGCCGCGGACTCGTACGCGTGTTGAGCGATATAGAGGATGGCGATGAATCTGATAATTCAGATGACGAAAGCCTGAGACCTAGGAACAGTATCACGACTGATGAGGGTTCTTTTAAAGGTCGCTCGGGTTCGAAGACCAAATCCAGAGACGACAGCGTCGTCAGTCTACTCAAAAACTGGGCACCATACACCTCCAAATCAGGCCAGGCAGACGATACACAACTGCCAGCAACTCCTCCAGTCAGCCTTGACTCGCTCAGCACAGTCCGCAATTCTCTTCTCTCTCCCTTCATCCCACCTCCACGATCCCGCATACACGTTCCAAGCAGATTCCGAAGGTACACCAACCGCGTCCGAAGGGAACCCGTGGCACCTAGTCCGTCCGTGGTGACCGCCGATGCTATCAAGAGAGTACCTCGTATGGTCATGGTCAGACAAGCCTTTTGTCTCAATTTCATGCTCGAGGCACTGGGACGCGATCCACCAAGACATGGAGGATCTCTCAGACACCCGTCTCCTGTGATCGAGCCGCGTGATCCTGACGGTGTGGTTTTGCAACACTGCGCTGATCTTCACCATGCTCTTTTACCGCTCGAGGGGTGGGAGAGAGATGGAGTGGTCGGGGAGATTAGAGCTGCTGAAGAGGGAGATGTTGAACGAGACCTAGAGATGGAACTACTCAGCATCTTCAGCCCCGACGCGCTGTTCGAAGTCAGCGATGCCGATGAAGTTGCTCTCCTACAGCCCGAACAGTCCGGTGTCGATGGCAGCAATGAGGATGGGGAGGTTACGCGTTGCGGGGAGGAGAAATCTCTCCGCGATCTCATGCGGGAATTTTCTTGCTACACGTTCATGCGTAATCTGGGTGCTGGGCTGAAGAACAAGGTGCGCAAGTGGAGGAGATGAGACAGGATGCAACAACAGCTCTAGGCTGGACATGTGCGTTTGCGCGCTGGTGTCATTCGGTCTGTCGGAAACACTGTACTTCAACAACGCGTTATAAACTACTGATCTCGACTCTGAGAAAGAGCATGCTCCTGACCCGACATGTCTATCGCTCAGTGGAGAGTCATGGTTAGCATGCAAGACAGACTGTAGAGCTATAAAAAAATCTGAACACGCGAAAATTTCGAGTGCTGAAGGATTCTGATCGTTCTTTATTTGCTACTTAAAGCAAAGGAATCATTGTCATAATAACACGCTGGTGCATATGCTCCAACATGATTCCGTAGTAGATATACACCCAGCTCGTTCAATCCTCCCATCTGCCCGCACCCAACGCCTAGCTTTCCAGCCGGGGAATCCACTTTCCAACCTCTCAACCCTATCTTCACCCAGTCGTAATTTACTTCAGAGCCTTCTCAGCCTTCTTCTCCGCCTTCTCAGCAGTGTGCTTAACATCCAGCATCTCGCCCTTGGCCTGGCCCTCGGTGTTCTCCAGACTCTTGTTGTACATGTAAATGCGACCGACCTGTGTGGCACCGACGCAGAAGACGAGGAAGTTGACACCAGCCAGCGCGACGTTCTTGGGGCGGATGACGAAGCACCAGCGCGTCCAGATGGCGCCTGTGCACATGAGGGCGAAGTTCTGGGTGAAGGAGAGGGATTCGGCGGGGCGGGAGAAGTCGGAGGCGCCGGCGAGGACCATGCCCCATTTCATTACTGGGGCCCTGTTGGGGTGTTAGCACTTGTGCGATGGCTTGGGTGGGGTGTGGTGGGTTTTGGAGGTGGGTGTTTGCTGCTGCGGATGCGGATGCGCTTCGGAGAGTGCGGGGAGCTGGCAGCGCATTGCGGGTAAAGATGGAGGTGGTTTCGAGGTAGCATACCAGAAGTGGACTGTCTTGGGACCGATGGGGCTGTTCCAGAACTTCTGGAAGCCGGCGGGCTCAGCGCCCGCTGTGGAAGCATGGCGGCGGGCATTTGCGCGTTGGAAGAAGGGTCGGAAGGAGCTGAAGATGCGGGAGCCGGGGCGGAACGACATGATGGCGAGCTGTGTCCTGGACTCTCGAGGTCGGCGATTCGAGTGGGAGCAGGAATTGGGGCGTCGAGAGCGAGGTCGAGGCCTTGGCGAGTGTCGTGTGCGAGAGCCGTCGCGATGTCGGGCTCAAGCACGAGATGATAAATCCGGGACTATCGATGGGGGTGCTCCGACTGCTTTAGGCCCGAAGCGGTAAGGCGTGCGTCTGGCAGCTTGACGAACATTGAATGTCGCTGCCGGCCCAGTGACGACAGACACCGATTGATACCCCCGCACACCAGTACCGGTCCCTACCATGGCGTCAAAAGCATTCGCAAACGGCCTCAAGGAGCTGAGGTTCCTGTTCTGCCAGACCAGCGAGCACAGCGCCGCGACAAGGTATGCGACAACCGAGTGAAGGAGCGCAACCCAACGCGCACGCCATTGCACAAGAGCAGGATAGACAGGACAGGCAGGATAGAGCGAACCGCGCTGACCGACTGGACAGGAACTTCCTCATGCGAAGCTACCCCGCCATGAAGAAGGCCAACCCATCCATCCCCATTATGATCCGCGAAGCCAGCAACACCCAGCCCACCGTATATGCGCGATTCGGTGCGTCACACCCGAGAACGACATACGAGAGCACTGCTAATAATCTGGGATAGACTTCGGAAAGGAGCGGAAGCTGTCACTGAAGGGCCTGGACGACAAGGCCATTGAACAACAAGTCACGGAGCTGGTACAGAAGGGCGCATGAATACATACTGGGAGGAAGGACGAGTGAAGAAGACAAGAGTCGTAGGTGAAGACGAATAGGCATACGAATAGCTCAAGAGAGCACAGCATAATAGCTCTGTATAGCCCGAATTGACCGTCTTCGAGAGTCCATTTCTCTTTCACCTCGACTTCTAATTCCTCATTCACCCTCACCATCCCATCTTTTGCGTAGCATATAAACTGTCCAACCGCCTCCCATCTTTCTATTTCCTCAGCCGCCAGAACCTCTTTTGCAGAATACATCCTCTTCACACCTCACAAACATTCTGCAAAACATCACCGAGACTACTACATACACTAACGATGTCTCACCAGACCAACCTCCCAGGTCACCACGACGCCGACATCGCCGCCGCCGAGGTGGATATCCTCGTCGTGAGCGACGTGAGTACCTCCCGGCCCCTCTATCGTTTTCAGATCAGCACTGACAAAACACTTGTATAGCACCCCGCCCTCGCAACCGGCCGCGCGGCCGAAGAACTCAAGCGCATCGAAGCGCAGTATCGGCACGTTGTCGAGCTGCTGGTTCAAGAAAAGTCGGCTGCGGCCGCCCGGATCGAAGATCTGGAAACCACCAACGCCGCCCTGCTGAAAATCCTCGGCAAGAAAATGGCGAATGAGGTGAACGGCATCTTTGTGCAGACGCACATTGTGCCTGCCAAGAGGGTCGTGCTTCGGCCTGGAGAGGAACTCTGGTCTGGCATCTTCAAAGATGTTTGAAGATGGGTTGGGTGGTTTGGTACTATTCTGATGCCCCGTCTTGTTTCCTCTTCCCCCTCCGAGTTTTTGTTTTTTGTGTTTTTTTGTAGATAGATATTGACCTTCTGGCATCAAATTCCATCGCGTGGTGTGCCGCATATCATGTCTACTTGGTGTGTGTACAGTGGTGTCTTCGTGGTTTTGTGATTTTGACATTGTGAATGCAATATGTTCTACGTGCTTGTATATAAAACTACATCTCAAAGTACCGCATACATATCCCAGAGTAGCAGCAACAGGCTCAATCCCAGAGCCATTGTAGTCCTCCCAGTACCACTTGTTCGGCGTCTTGAACTGCAGAAATCCCTCGACGCACATCACGCCCACCTAAAAACCTAGTATCATGTCCGCCCCAATGGCATGTAAGCCCCAACAAGCCGGCTTCTTCAGCCGGTTCCGTTGCAACGACTCCGTCATGGGCTCACCCACAGGCTCTGCTACACCTTCCCTGGCACCCTCTCTCGCATCCTTGAGTCAAGACAACGACAACCTGGCTGCGATCAACACTCGCCTACAAAACCGCAACCAAGAGTTGATGCAGCAGTCTGAACTCAACCAACTGCTTTTCCAGCAAACCTCTGAAGAGCTCACAGCGAAGGAGAGCGAGCTTGTGGAGCTGAAAGAGAGGTTTCGCTCTAATGCTGAAGCTACGAATGAGACTATCCAGGCTCTTGGACTGCAGCTCCAGACTCTGACCGAGCAACTGGCAGAATCACAGGACAAAGATTGTAATCGTGAAGCCCAGCTAGTCGAGCAATCAGACGGAGCACAAGACACCGCTACCGATCGTCATGCTCAACTAGCTGATTCCGAAGAGCAGCAACACCAGCTCTCCCTAGAAGCCGCCAATGTACAGTCCCCGACCCAAGAAGACGTCGACGACTTGATCTGGGCCAAGCTTCAGGACAAGAATAAGACCATTGACTTCCTGCGTTGTCGGCAGGCCAAGTCTGATAAGCGCATCCAGAAGCTGCAGGAGCGTCTGGAGGTTGAGCAGAGTGTGGGGAGGGACTGGGTTGAGACTATCATGATGGTTAATATGAAGGTTAGGGCGAGGGCGAAGGCGGATGATGGCGCTGATGTTGGGGTGTAGATGTAGGTGATACGGCTTAATGGTATGGTGTGGTGATTGGCATATAGTAGTCGGGCTAGGCGATATTTACATAATGCACTGTACATTTCTCGCAGTGTTTCAGATCTATTCTTCGTCCATATCTTCGCCTGCGAGTTCTTCGTTATTCGTGCTCTTCTCTCTACCTCCCCTCAACGCTAGCAGCCTCCATCAAAGCCCCGCTTGTCCATGCTGCAATGCCCGTAGCACACTTCACAGTAACACCCTCGACGTCAGTCCGCTGCGCCTCCTGTTCACTTCCCAACAAGATGAATCCGACGTGTCACGTAAGGCGAAAGACGCCACCAATGTATCGCGTAGTCACATGATCCGTCATGTACTGCTGTTGGGTCAATCCTTGTTCCGTGCTGGACGCCACCAATAATGCTCCTCAGGCACATCACATAAAAACGCCTGTGTCGCTGTTGAGTCGCTCGAAAACTACGATAGCGTGGTCGACTAGGTTGATGCCTGTTGGTGTTGGTGTTTCGTGGCACACGTAGTGGGCTGTCAGGCGCCTGTCTTTGTTGTGTCATCGCCCGCCTTTGGTCTCCGAGACTCCGAAACAGAATGTACCTGCATATATGGCTAATGCCAAGATGTATGTTGCCGCCGTCTTTGTGCTCATTCGGCTCTTTTGCCGAGTAGGTGCGCAGATGATCTGCATGCTGCAGGGTATTCCGAACGAAGTAAGAATTGACGACGGGTACTGTATCCATAGAAGATTAGTTGCCCCGTTTGCCTTATTTGAATGGTATCAATAACCTGGTCATGATGCGTGTGCCTTAGGTGGCAGTGTAACTGGATCGGTTGAGCTGGCTTGCTTGGTTGGGGTGCTAAGACCCTTGTTTGATGTGGGATTGTTTTGTGGCGAGACACAATCGGAGGCCACTGATCTGTGTGTTCAGGGAAAGTGTCTCGAATTGCGATAGCGTCATGCGGTATCTTCAGTCCGCTCTTCCGTCATACCTACTGTCTGGCGCTTGGTCGTCGCGGCAGTCAAGCGAGAATACCGAAAGCATCCAACGTTACATCGGCCGAGCTGTACCTTGTTTGCGCAACGACCCAATACTCGACCCTGGCGGCGCATGCCTGGTCAGCATGATCACGGGATCATGGTAGCTCTGTTGCTCATGTAGACGCCCGCTGAGCATCGGACGGCTGCAGCTTACTAGCTTCCTTGGGTGGAGGACTGACATGGATGACGACGACTTGGAATGCAAGCCACAGACGGGACCTTGCGGTAGGATGTGATAAGTCGCATAATCGACGTACTGAACCAACTCTAGTTGCATTAGATGTGTCTGCAAATTCTATCATCGGTCTTCCAAGCATGGATCATGCGTTCTGTAGCACCTCTGCGCTGTAAGGCGGTTGGCTGCTCTGACAGCAGGCACTACAGTCTGTGGCTGCTATCTGACAGCCCGTGTATTCATGACTATAGTACTGTAGCCTATAACGACGTGCCTTAATTTCGAAAAGTTTATCAACATGCAAGCCACCTCGAGGGGAATACGTAGTGTATGTCGTGCGCGCACGTTGATACTGGCCGCCCGGGTGACGCATGTGCGATGGTTTGAGCGCACAAGACCGGTGAACTCGATTGGGCCGTTTTGAAACGAAGTACAGTCGTTGATATCTGAGAGTTGGTGGACTGACTTCTTATCGCCAAAAGGACGGCTCAGTGTGATGCGAATGAAGGTCCAATGGAGTAAGGCCGATATGTATTACGGCAATAAGCTGGAAGCATTGAGTGTCTTAATGCCGTGCTGGAGCGTCAGATATGAGTCCTCCGAGTGGGCTTTTTGGTCCGAGATTGAATGCCGCTTGAGCCTGATTCTGGACATTGTTGAGCGATATGGCTAGTTTCGCACCTTGTACCTCGCAACGCCAACTCCAAAAACAGGCATTACGAAGCAAACCCAACCTTGAAATGCGAACATCAAGTTTCCGAAGAGAGAACAACATATGTAAGATCTGTTGGAATGGCTGGTAAATTCAGAAACATTATTGGAGGCCTGGTTGTGGTTCAACCGAGGAGGACCTCCCATTCCCATTCTTTCATAACACTCAACCAATGCAAGCGGCTTTTGACTGTTACTCCCGAATCCCGGGGGTCTGTGGTACCAGACGGTATCGGCATCCCGTACGGTATTTCTCGTGAACCGAAGTCGCGATCGACTTCGTAATCATCAGGATAGGCGTCGTTCTCGCAAATAATGGATGCGTCTGATGAGAAGCTGTCGCTGCGCAAGTGCTCCATATTCATGGTTGTACGCTCAAGCGCATGATTGTCGCGTCTGTTCCAGACTTCTTTCGTGACCTCCAAACATCGCTCTATGATCCCCAATTTCATTCTGGTAGACATCAGAGACCAGCGATCTCTGACCCATTCCCGATCCTCCGGCTTAGTCATCTCACAGCCAGCGGCCATCAGAGGATAGATATGCACGATGATCGAACGTGAGCGCGGATGAACGGTGGCCAAGGCGCACAGTACTTTGTTTGCGAGCACGCTGGGTGGCTGGGACGGAACCTCGGGTACAGCTTGGTGAAGATAGAGCAGTGTTGCGTATTGATAAGCGATCGCAGTCTTAATAGCATCTTGCGGGCTTGTTGTCTCATCTTCTGGCTCTTCAATGTGAGAAGGCGGGGTCCATTCCTCGAGTTGAGATTTCAATTGTACTGCTTGCGATATGATGGTGGGTCCGTTGCTATCGGATCTCCGCACTTTCCTCACCAGATTGGCGACCCGGCCAATGATAGGGAAGAGCGTGTGCGCGCAGCCCATCAACGGGTCAAGAGTAGAGTCGGTGTCTCCAGCAGCATATATGCTTTCTCTCACATTGTCGACATCGTATGCGTCGTCTTCGTCAGCAGAAGTAAGGCGAGCAAGAACGTCCATATAAATCCAAGTGTTGCAAAGAAACTTCAGTCGAGCCCATTCTTCGCCTTGCTTTGGCATGAGACGATGGTTCATAAGGGCTTGATTGATCAGGATCTTAGCTCCTTTGATGTGGTTGATACCGGTACTGATATGCTGATCCCAAGACTCGGCGAAGGCCAGAACAAGTGTAGTTGATATAGCTGCGTCGACACGCATGTTTTGGAGTCCAGCAGCCAATGCATGTACGGCGCTCCGCATATGATCTATACCCTGGATGCGCAAAGTAGGCATATCTCTTGCTTGATGGAAGGAGGTCATCGATGCGATGGCATGATAGAGTGCGGGACAATCCCTCGTTAGAGGCCAGATGAGAGTCCGCCATGGGTTCTCAGTAGGCCCGTCCTTTAGTGACAGTACGCCGCACGTGTCCCTATGATAACGCCGTGTGAGTGACTCCGCCGATGCCATAGATAAATGCAACTGGGCCGGAATCTTGAAGTCGGGAGAATTCGAGGAAGAGCCTGATGAGCTTGGTGTCGTGGGCGATGGTAGCCACATCACGCAAGCTGCAGACTCGTCGATCTTATCGCGTACAACTTCTTCATCGACATCGTCATCCAATGGCGCTGGAGGCGTCATACCAGAGGGCTGATAGAAAGCCTCATGCTGAGACACAAAGGAAGAGTACTCCTCCGGTGGCACATTTAGATCTGTTCCTGGGAGTAGGAGGTCTACTATTCGGGGAGATTGGCCTGACGAAAGGCTTGAGTCAGTATTCGTATTGACCCGTGCAGTAGTCGTACTTTCGGCTCCAATAATGCCAAACGGCTCGAAAGAACCTGGCGCATATGACTCCACTGGTGATATTGACTGAGAGATGATGAATGGCGATGTCGTCGGGACAGTGAACAAGTTTCCCATAGGTGCCAAGGGAGGATGTGAAAAGACTGCTTGTATGGGCGG